ATAGATAGATAGATAGATAGATAGATAGATAGATAGATAGATAGATATAGAGGGAGGGAGGGAGGGAGGGAGAGAGAGAGAGAGAGAGAGATCAAACAAATTTTTATTAAAAACATAAAATGTAAAGACCAAAATCTATTTTAAAATGCAGTAGAATCAAATTTATTAAAAACAGAAAATGTAAAATGTAAAGACTATTTTGAAATGCAGTATGAAAAGGTGGAGGGTAATTACAGAGCTGTCCAGAATCATGCTCGTACAGCAGCTTACAAATTAGTTTAAGAAAGAAAAATCTAAAAGAAAATGCAGCTCTCTAGAGAGCAAAAGTTGGGCAGTGATTCAAAGGAAACATTCTGACCTCAAAATCTCGGTAGATAGACAGATTTCCATTTATTAAATTAATATAACTGAAGGAAAAAAGTATATTCAAGAAAAGTACATTTGTGAAAACAGTGAAAAGATTGATGTTAAATCCCAAATACACAATTTACAAGTCTTCAATCATTTAGCCAATGGCCATTAGTGCTGTACTGTAATGATGGCACTGAATGAATGGTGGTTACAACTATCATTGGAGTTCCAGCTATCCCAGCATACCCACAATCACAGGGTCATGATCTGGATACACAACACAAAGATCTATCTTCACCCAAAATGTTTAACCAGGTCAGATAAAGTTCTAACAGATGCACTCATATGTTTAATTTTAACCTTGGTTTGTTTCATGGCTTAGCAATGTTGTGCAAACCTAGCCTATCTGGTGAGTTTATAATTCACTAGAATATGCCAACCTCGAAAAAACAGCCCAAAGCATTTTAATTGGACCTTTTTCTAACATCAACAGTCATTGACTCCTTTTTGTACATTGACTGGTTTGCACATTATCTTTGTTTTGTACAGAAACGGAGATGTATAAAAGAAGAATTTCTGCCAGTTTATTGCAATTAGTTTAGGCAGAGATGAGACGTGTTATACTATGGTAGGAGATTATGCTATTGAACTGTTATGGCCCACATACTCCTGTCTTCAAATCTAGAGGAATCTGCATGATAAAAAAAAAGAGCATGTTTAGCTGAATAGCTCAATAAATAGCAATAACACTTTTTAGTTTACTTTTTTTCATTGTCATTGCACCTCGTACAACGAAATCAAACACCATCTTCAGTGCACATCATGACCATGACCATGAAAATAAACACAAACACACATCCTTCACCCTTCACACATTGAACCGGAAACCCCCAACACCACACCAACACTGCACTGAGTCGACCTTGAGCCGGTGAGAATTGAACTGCCAAACTGCTGGCAGACAGCAGTCAGCAGAAGTAGCCTGCAGTACTACATTCTAACCACTGAGCACCACAGTGAGAATGAATGAGCACTATATTAAATTGAACAAACTTTCCTTTCATAATGCATTGCTTTTAGGTTTTACTTTTCCCAGTTAGCCTCTTCTTTAAAAGTATCTGTTAAAAAATATTTCTGATAGGAAATCTGTGACTTTCCAAATGTTGCTGAACTACATCTGGAATCCTTCACCATTCACAATATTGACTGGGACTTGACTGCTAGGAGTTGTCATATTATAGATTTCAACTCTCTGCAACAGGAGTGACACATCACAATTACAATCCCTACAATGTTTAAATAATTTTAATTATATATTTTGGAGAAGGAAACACACATAAAACAAAAACAGAAATGCAGGTAATTTCAAACTGAATGACCAGGGGTCCCACAATGTTTGTGCCACAGTTCAATAGCCTTGCTCACAATTGCATCAGTGTTATCTTGAGGTATCTAGGAAAGATAAAAACATAGATTGAAATATACAGGTATTTTGGAGTGCAGTCTTGAATACATTTGGCCTTTGCCTTCAAAATACTATTGGATTTAATTAAAGCACTGTTTTCTTAGAATTTAGATTGTATGAAAGAGTACTTACATTTTCCAAAAACTGTTCAATCTTTTCAGCACTAGTCAAGGCCATCAACTTCATTTTAAAGGTTAATAAGATCTCAACAGCAACAAAGACAAGGATTTTGCAAGAACCACTAATAACCTTGTCCCAAACCCTAGAAAATTCAACGAGACAGTCATAAAATTGTCTGTTCTTAATTTTATATCTGTAATTTATATTATCAATATACTTCCTTCATGATTAAAATTAAAATTTGGTGAAACCCTAGAAAAGCTGAAAAACTGACATTTTTTAGAATATTGGCAATATTGCTGACTGTCAAAACATCATGTCTACGTGATTCATGGGAATGAGTCATGTCTACATGATTATGCTCCACTGAAGACTACAGGGACTTAAGTTTTTCCAATTTAGGAGAGGTGGAAGGGAGAGAAACTTGCCTTTGTAAACTTGATTCAGGTAGGCATCCAGCAAAACACTTTCTAAACCAAAGATTATAAGGAAGCTGGCCCATTGCTGAACACGACTTCAGATATGCTAGAAGCCGGTTGTCCTCAAGGCTCAGGATTTGTTCCAGAAGTTTTGGCTGCAGCAACATAAATATAAAAAGAATTAATGAAATATGCTAAAATCATTTTAAAGTCTTGTCTTGTTGATATTTGTGGCAAGGAAACTTCGGTGATGGTGGAGATTATCTGTAGCTCGGGTGTAGGATGAGGTTGTAGGTTCGTTCTCCGAGTTTATGGGTTGGTTTCCGAATGTTTTGTTATTGGGCTAGGTAACATCTTCAGAGGAGTTTAGGGGATGTCTGGGTTGGTGTTCTCCTGTTTATAAGGGCTCTGTGTGATTATAGTAGTGATGGGAGATCACGTCCCTATCACAAGACCACACGAAGCCCTTATAAGCGGAGGAACACTGACACTGACATCCCCTAAACTCTGCTGTTACTTAGCCTGGTAAGGAAATGTTTGGACACCAACCCATAAGCTCGGAGAACAAAACTCCACCCTCAAAAGAACTATTCCTCAAATTAAATTTAGTGTGATATATGAAGCAAATGACTTCATGTGTAATGTTCCTTACAGGTCAGAAATATACGTAATGATATATTTATAAAATCATCTGAGAATTCCTTTATAGAACCAATTTTGTGAAGAAGAAGAAAAGGAATCACAAGGCAAAAGGAACACATTATGACATTTTTACCATGGCACCAGTTTCTGTCTGCTAAATCAATCAGATATTTTTTTTTCCCCAGTGGTTCTGCTTCACACATACATTTTGCATGCATACAGGACTGTATCCAACATCTTCAAAATTACTGGTCACAATTTAAGAATAACTCCCCCCACCCACCCAAAAAAATCAGGCCTTCTAGGTGCATTTCATGAATGTAAGCATCCCTAAGGTCACCTGATCAAAATTTGGACACTTGGTAACTGGCATGTATTTATGACGGCTGCAGTATCCTGGGCTCATGTGATCGCCTTTGGCAACCTCCTGTCAAGTAATGGGAAAGCCAGATTCACTTAACAACCATCTTACTAATTTAACAAGTGTAGTGATTCACTTAACAACAGTGGCAAGAAAGATTGTAAAAAGGGGTAAAATTCACTTAACAACTGTCTTGCTTAGCAACAGAAACTTGAGCATCAATTGTGGTCCTAAGTTGAGGGTTACCTGTGTAAGATTTTCAAGGTCATAACCAGCACCTTGAATGACATCCAGAACCAGGCATGTAATAAATGCAGCTCACAGAGAGAAATGATGCTTTTTTGCTGGGTTTTGAACCAGATGAAACTTCCAAGTGGTTTTCAAAGGCAGCCCTACTTATACTGCTTTGGTGTGAGTGAGACAAGGTGGGAGGATTGGGCACAAGTGGTCAAGTTTGAAGGGCCTCCTAAACCAGAAAAGGATGCAACTGTTGGGCCAGGTGAAGCTGCCTAAAGGCCTTCCTGACCACTGTTGCCACCTTTTCATCAAGCAGGAGCAATGAATCCAACAAGACCCTCAGACTGGGCACCACCCAAGTAGGGAGATGCAAATCCACCCAAGATGAGCAGCAATCTCTCGAGGTGCAGGCAGTCCTAACCACCAGAGCCACTTGGTACTTGCAAAACTGCACTGAAGATGTTCCATCCCCATCCTGGCCTGCATAGCCACCAATCCTTGAGGGCGGACTTTTGACAGCCTCACTCTGCCAGTCTGGGATTGAAAGATAGAACTGAGTAAAGGAAGAAAACCACTGGAGAACAGTGCCTCCAATTCTGAACCCCTGCAGTTGGTTCGGAAAGAAAATCACTTTCAATCACCATGGTGGTTTAAAATTATGATTTACTTGAAATAACCTTCAAACCAAGTAAAGCCTAGCACATTTTTAAAAGTTCAGGTACAACAATACAATGCAGTTAATCAAAACTGAACGTGAGTGTTTGCAATCTGCTCCTAGCAGGCGTGCAAACGGTAACAGAGAGCATGTGAAGCCCAGCAGGAAGCTGGCTCACTTATCACAATAAATCATAGTATAATACGAGAAACCCAACCTCTGCTATCACTTCGCAGCCTCTTTGGTTTTGCAGTTAACTCTCAAAATAATGAACTGTAACAGAAATCATCAAGAATTGATAGAAGCTGACCAGTAATGTGTGTTTGTGAGTGCATGCATACATACATGCATACATACATACATTATATATAATTAAAATAAAAGTGCTTGCTATGAGATTGGAACACTATTTCCTTTATCTGACCTTTTACGATTCATCTTGTCTGAAATATACCAGAACCTCTGGTCACGACCATAATTCGTTCCATAACTTTGGTTGCAACCTGATTTGGTCGTGATCCGAATCGAATTTCCCTATTGGATTGTTACGTAAATGCAATCAATCCATTCCAGACCCTTACGAACTGTATATAAATATTGTTTTTAAAAGATTTTTAAGCACAAAAATAGTTAATTATGCCTTCGTCTTGCCAACATTGCCACTCCTCACTTGATTAGAGGCCATGGTTAATTGCGAAATTAATGCAGCGGCCACAGGTGGGTTGCTGCTGTTTGTAAACAAACAACAGGAAATTTGGCTCTTGCAAAATAAATGGCACGAAAGGGGAAATCAGCCATGACCATGTTTGATTGCCAGCCGAGTATGTGTTCATGACCAGATTCAAAAATTTTGTGAATATTTTGGTCAGAACCTGATCTGGTCATGGTCAGAAGCGTTCGTGACCAGAGGTTCTATTGTAATCAGCTTATTTCCAATCTCTCACTAGTGCTCCAAGTGTCACTGAAGGAGATTACACATATACACTAAGCCAAAGGCAAACAAACTATCTCCTACTATACCTCAGCTTACTTTCTCCAGTCTAGATCACAATTCTTCAGCCTTCTTCAAAACCACGATGTGTATTTCTAAGTTACCTTGCTAGAAGCAAGGATCAAAGAGTGCAGATAAGTGGATTAGGTTTTATGGAAATTATCTTCTTTTACCGCAATCCTGAATCCACTTTTTATAACAAATGCAAAACAATGTGGTGTTAGTGGATGATGGATTCAATGGAGTCTATTATAAAGTTAGCAAATGCACAAACTCAATGTAAATAAATGCATTGATGTTTTATAATTACATAAATCCACAACAAATATTAGAGATGGATAACATAACACTAAAAAGTTCTGATCCTAAGCAATTGGTTGTTGTTTTTTACAGACAGTGAATATAAAGCCTACAAGACAAGCAAACAGCAGGAATCAATCATGCAAATTTCTTAATGTTCACCTTCTCATGTGAAATTACTTAAACCAACAGCTCATAGCCAGAAACCACCTTAGATTATTGTAACTATCTTTGCTTCTCCCAAACATTTGCCTGTAATTTTAAATGTATATTTTCCTTATCTCTAACAGTATGATGCATATTATCAATTATATACAGCAGAGGTGCTATTCGACCGGTTTGCACCTATTCGGGCAAACTGGTAGCGGTTATTTGGCACGGGTCGCCGAACCGGTGGCAATCCCTGGCTGGCCACGCCCCCAACCCAGTCACCCGGTCGCTCACTTGCGATCGCTCTCCTAGCTTTCCGTTCCCCACGTCCTCTTTCTCCCAGGGGAAAAGGAAGAAAGGCATGGACGCTGCAAGTATCGCTTTCCCCTTGTGAGTTAAAGTGCTGGAGTGAGAAGGAGTGTGGTCTGACAGAGGGGGTGGGGGAATCCACTCCAGCCTTGCAGAAATTTAAAGGAGCTGTTTCCAAAATGCTTGTCTGTTAAGTGCTCTGTGTGTGGTGTGTGTGTGTGTGTGTGTGTGTGTGTGTGTGAGAGAGAGAGAGAGAGAGAGAGAGAGAGAGAGAGAGAGAGAGAAAGGTAGAGAAAGAAAGAAAAAAAATAGGAAGAGAGAGAGATAAAACTCTGTGCTATTATTTTTAATTGTTCCATTATTTATCATGTTAATATTTTACACTGTCCCTACACCTAGAGTGATTTTTCTGCCTTTCTTTTGCCCAGGGCTACCACATATTTTTCAGGGTTTACATGCATTCAATGTCAATAGTCCAGAGCATAAAATACACATGTGTTTAACAAGAGTTGAAAGGGACCTTGGAGGTCTTCTAGTCCAACCCCCAGCTCAGGCAAGAAAACTTGAGTAAAGCATGTGAGCCATTTCCTCCTTTCAGTGGTCCATGAAAGTACATCTATAGTATGCAAATAATAAAGTCAAAAAAGGTGAACAACATTTTTACAGAACTATAGATAAGTTGAGGCTGGGTGACAAGGAATGGCTGGGAGGGGAGGGGCCAGGTGAGGCACCTCTTGATGTGAGTGACATTGAGTTGGCCACGCCCACCCAGCCACATGACCACCCAGTCACATGACCACTAAGCCACCCATCCAGTCACATGATCACAAGCCACGCCCGTCAAATAAGCCACGCCCACAGAACCGATAGCAAAAAATTTGAATTCCACCGATATACAGGCAGTCCTCGGCAGTTTATTTAGTGACCAAAGTTACAAGAGCAATGAAAAAAGTGACTTATGACCACTGTTTACATTAATGACCAAATGCTTGGCAACTGACTCATATTTATGATGGTTGCGGTGTCCTGGGGTCATGGGATCACCTAGTGTGACCTTCTGACAAGCCAAGGCAATGGGAAAGGCAGATTCCCTTCACAACCGTATTACTAACTTAACAACTGCACTGATTCACTTCACAACTGTGGCAAGACAAGTTGTAACATGGGGCAAAACCCACTTAACTGTCCTCCCTGAGCAACAGAACCGTTGGCCTCAACTGTGGTCGTAAGTCGAGGACCTACCTCTACCTGCAACTCTATTGGACGTTCGCTCATATGTGCAGTTCCGCAGAGATATTTTCTTACCAGCTGTGGTAATGCCTCCTTGTACCTATTGTTTAACTGGTTCACGAAACTACTAACTAGCCAGTAGCAATCAACACTGTCTTCCACCATTTCTTCCATTGCTTTTGCAATAGCGAGGAATATCTCATCTTCGGATTGCTAGAAAACAAAGGGGGAGGGAGGGGGGGGCAGAGAATCAGAGAAAGAGAAAGAATGTGCATCATACATTCCGTTCAAAACTTGCAACCGAGTTCCCATTAATAAGCCATGTGTTCGGTACAAATGTGCCCCGAGGAGGCTACCCAACGCTTTCTAAATCAGCCAAGCTACAGGACTTCTGAGAGGAAATGGTGAAGGGGAAATAAGTTCGTCAGATGGAGAGCTGATGACCTCAGCAGAAGGGCTGGCAAGTAGACCAGCTCTTCATGATTACTCTCCAAAACAAGGAGAGGGCTTGAGATCGCCCACAAATGCTCCAGACAGTTAGGGAGTGAGGCTATGACACTGATGGATTTGGAGCTGCTGGGAAATGAGGGCAGAGCCATATTTTGCTTAAATCTTAGCCAGCGCCTTCAAAAGGACACTGGGTTGGCTTACAACATTTTCTAACCCCTTGTTAACGGCTTTTCAGTTACTAGGAACCTTTGGATGGACAGGTTTTGTAGCACAGGAAGAGTTGTCTTTAATGTTGAATGATACCAAAGTTTGTTTCCTTTGGTTTTATCATGTCCGATTTTCAGAGAAAATCATAAGTTCCTGCAGGTTTTTTTGGGCAAAGTTTTTCAGAAATGATTTGCCACTGCCTCTGTCCTAGGGCTGAGAGACAGGGACTGGCCCAAGGGCACCCACTTGACTCTGTGCCTAAAACGGGACTAGAATTTACAGTCTCCTGGTTTCTAGCCTTAACCACTACACCAGACTGGTTCTCTAAACACTGGACATTTTGAAAGGCATTTTTGAACAATGGATCCAGAAGGTAATTTTAAGACTGTCTGCCTCTATAGACTGTGTTTAAAAGACATTATGGAAGAAGGATCCTAAAGATTGGTTATTATAATTAAATATAAAACTGATTGATAAGATGATTTCAGGTGGCCCTCATTTACCTTCAATAACCATCTGAATTTACCACCATTCTGAAAGAGAGATACTTAATTCTGACTATTGGAGTGTCCACATATTGATGACTGGATTACAATTCCGACTCTGCAGTGTAATAAGGTCATGTAATTTTTAACCTTCACTTCCAACTAGCAAAGTCAATAAGGAAGGGTATTGATGTTGCAATAGGTTGCAAATGGCAAATGGTTATTGATGTTACAGGAGGTTGCAAATAGCAACCATGTGGCTTTGCACTGAACAATGCAGTGGGATTCCTTTAACAACAGCAACCAGAAGTGTAGGAATCGTGGTATGGTCGTATGATGTTGTACTTTGTGACCTTATCGCTTAGCGACAGAAATTCCAGTCCCAATTGCCAACCTCAACCAAGGACAACTTGTTCTCAGCCCATTACACGAACTTTGTAAAAATACCAATTTGAGGGTAAGACAGACTATAAAGGCAGTTTCAAGCATAGGGGCCAACAAAGGGGTTAAACAAGGGTATATTTATTTTTAATTTTATCAATGCAATGGGAGATGCCCTAAGCCGGGGGTGGGGAATTATGTCCCTTTTATGACTTGTGGACTTCAAATCCCAGAATTCCCGAGCCAGCCATGCTCAGGAGATGAAGTCCACAAGTCATAAAGGGGGCCATGGTTCCCCACCTCTGCCCTAAGCGAAAGTATCATTCCCACACACTGACTAACAAACCTGAATCTATACTGCTATACACAGATGATGCTGTCACATTGCTGAAAATACCAATATGTTTTGAACAGCCATAGCATTTAAACTCAGACAGAAAAAATCTGGCTCTGTGTGTAAAAATCTTATGAAAAGCAAACGTAACCTTCACTGACCAAAGGAAAAGATGGGTTTTGTGGTAGCTTTCCTGATTCCAACTGATATATCCGGAGGAATACTTCAGCCTGTGGAGTAGAATCTGTGATAAAGCGAATGACTTGAAGGGCACGGTATACATCCCCATACTGTTCCTTTCTATATTTCATCACAAATGCATGAGAGTCATGGTGAGGTGGGAGAATTCCTTTAAAGAAAGAGAAAAGGCAAGAGATTTAGATGAAGTCTACTCGCTTTAAGGGTGAAACCTTCATCTTCATACCAATTATTCTCAGATCAAATAAAAAAGATCTAGCATTTGTTCACAAGAAATGCTTTGGCACTAATATTGCAAACATATTAGTTTACTATCCATATAGTACTAAAATTCTCATGGTGCTTATAAGTTTGTTTCTATCTTCAAGCTAGCCCAAACCAGAGGTGGGATTCTACCAATTTGGAATGGTTCTATACAACCGGTTGTTATGACTCTGCGCAGTTCAGAAAACCGGCAAATCGTGCCCCTGGCTGGGCCCTCCCCTCCCTGCCCAGTCAGTCCTTATCATGCATATGCAACATTGCGCACATGCCCGACATTGCTGACTGCGTTCTTTTCTGCCCAGTCACTCCTTACGGTATTTTTTTTTCTGTCTCCCAATGATCAGCTGTTCCGACCATCAGCTTTGCTGGGATCCCCATTGCTGTCTTACTGCTTTGCCCAGGAGACTTCCCTGAAGCCCAGGAAGGCAAAAAATGGAGGGGAGGGCTCCATTGTTTTCCTTCCTGAGCCACAGGGAAGCCCTTTGGGAGCAAAAACGCCCCCCAGGAGGCTTTCCTGAGGCCCAGAAGGCTCAAAAAATGGGGGAGGGGGGGAAATACTGAAAAAAAAAAAAAAGAAGAGGAATCTATGCCCACCCAATTACATGGCCATGCCCATCTAGCCACGCCCAGGACCGGTTGTTACAAAATTTGAATCCCACCCCTGGCCCAAACTACGCATTATATCACAACAATTTTTGAATCAGGGTACCTAAAATATGTTAACAGTGCATACAAAATCCGGGACCCATTATTCCTATGGAATTGAAATTCCACAATGTTCATCCCAGTTTTATTTGCAAAGTTGCAGCCACTGCAACGTCCCATGATCACAATTGTGAACCTGTGAGCAGCCAAGTTAGTGGGGAAATGGGCAGGTAGTCAAAAGTCACTTCTGCTCCCACCGTTTCCACCCCCACCCACCCACTGAGTCCTTCTGTTTATCTTTTCAGGTTAAGTAAATATTGATTTACTACTGAAGTTCATTTGCCACTACAATTATTCTTCCATGTATACTCTTCTAAGACAATTACAGGAGTGTGCAGCATTAGGATAAAAAAATATGATCAGCCTATAATTTAATTATTCATTCTGGTCACATCAGACTACATTACCCTTCTCTCGAAGGATGACCCAATAGCACTGCCTAATGTTCACTAATGTCTCTGCTAACAAGCTACAAGGAGAGTTTTCTTGTTGAAGACTATGTTCAGGAGGAATGAGCAGAAAAGTGAGCCTCATTCATGTACTTTTTCTTTAAATGAACAGGAGCACTCCCTGTAAATATATGTACATATATCCAAAGGGACTTAGGTATGACTGATTTAGAATTACAGATAAGGCTTTTATACAGAAAATTCCAAGCACAGTCCAAGTCTCCCTATTTATTGACAAGCAAAGTTACTGAACATTTTAACAATGCATTTGTTTTTAGGAAACAAAAACAGGGAGACCACATAGGCCAGTCTTCCCCACCTCAGATACAGATGTGGTTGAGAATCTGAAATTTACAGTTCCAACATATCTGAAAGAAGCCAGGATAGGGAAGCTGATTAAAAAACCAAATTTCAAAGAGCAATTTTTCCAGGATCCACCTTAAAAAATCCAGACTAGAGCAATGTTAGAAAAAAAATTAAGCAGGATTCCTTCCTAAATACCCCAGGTTAACCAAAGCTATTCAGAGACAAAATGCAAACTATTGGAAATTTCACTTTATAGGTGTTACAATAGCCAATTATATTGGTTAGTACCACTTAATATATTTTAATGGGTACACCCGCTAAGGCATCTATTGCAAGGTTTTATCAGGGAGCACAGCTGACAGCAAAGCCACTCTTGTTATTGATAAAGAAGCACTTGGTCTTCATCCCTTTCCATACCTAGAAGCACCTTCCATACCAAGGTCCGGAACATGGATGGGAGAGGGAACCTTTGACTAAATGTGCAAAGCTTCTCAATATCTGTAAATAAAGATATAAAAACAGTGTTTCACAATGTTATGAGGCAGCTCTAATCAATACTGACACTGGAACCCTGGCACCAGAACAAAAGGCTCTCCAGAGGATATTCCCCCTCTGCTGACAATACTTTTCTCCTGTTTATAATTGCAGTCCTTTCAGCAGCGCCAAGATGGTTCCACACTCATTGGAATTCTGATTCAGGTGACTCTGAGGACACAGATTAGCCCAGTTGCAAAAGTATGAATCCCTTCCATTTCCCCCCCCCCCACTCCCCCATTAGTTAGAACTGAAGCAGCTTCTTGTATGAGAAGCGAAAAACAAAAATCAGAAAGTCCAGTTGTCTTTAAAATGAGAGCACCTTGGGGACCAGAAAGCAGGATAAGAAGCAATGGATGGAAACTAATCAAGGAGAGAACCAACCTAGAACTAAGGAGACATTTCCTGACAGTGAGAACAATTAACCAGTGGAACAGCTTGCCTTCAGAAATTTCAGGTGATTCATCACTGGAGGTTTTTAAGAAGAGATTGGACAGCCATTTGTCCAGAATGGTACAGGGTCTCCAGGTTGGGTAGGGGGGTGGACTAGAAGACCTCTAAGGTCCCTTCCAACTCTGTTATTCCGACACATGGACATCATTCTGGACCAGCTGAAGCTTCCAAATGCTCAACAGCAGCCCCATGTAGAGCACATTACAGTTGTCCAATCAAGAGGTGACTTGTCCTCATCTACTATTCTTATTTCCAGCAGAAGACTTATTTGCTTTGCTGAAATACTTGATAATATTTTCAAAGGTTGAAAAGAGAGGAGAGAAAAAAAAATATTTCTCATCCCTCATTTCTATCTTGCTGTAATAACATTTCCTTGGGAGGAAAATGGACATTCAATTGTCAGATAAATTCAAAATCCAGAGTAATTCAGAAAGACCAAAATCAAATTTGCCAAAAATCAAAACACACCCTTAGCAACTGTAAACATTGCACTACATTGTATATTGCACATACCCAACCGGTCATCTTTCAAAAGAATTTCTAATGATTTTTTTTCTTCAACACCACGAAATCCTACTTTTTCATAGTACACGGATCGGAAATTTCTCTGAGGATCGTCAGCCATGTCTCATTCTAAAATAAAGACAAATTAAAGTATGTCACCAAATTAAGGGTTTTACGATCAGTACATTCAACAAGAAAATGTTGCAGTACACAATTCTCCTGTTTGGTGTTATATCCAGTCACATTCCTTTCTAAATAATTAATTCTGTTTCGCCTTTTGCCTCACTTTCCCAAGGCTTTTCTCCATCCAACCTTTCTCTCATTGGATAGTCCAGTTCTGCTTCTAGTGTTACTTTGCAATGCTTTAAAGACCTTGAAGTTTACCCACTCAAGTATATATCCATAGTCCTTTATGTACAGGGTGAATGCAGTTGTGATTCTAAACCATGATGGGAACAGGGATAAGCAGCAAAATTAAGGCCACGTTCTTCCCTCCTTTCCACTTCTGCCATTTCTTTTTTCCTGCAGTGTTTCAATTTCTGCACATTTCAATTTTGATAAGTTGTCAGATACATGGGGGGGGGAGGAGTAGGTGATAGTGTTTTGACTGCACAAACAATGAAATTCATACTTTAATAATGCAAAAATAAGAAGCATAGACAGCATATGTTGTAACTGTCACTAAAGGCATATAATAGTTCTAGAGTCTAAACGCTTTCAAGTTTCAGAAAAAATAAAGATAACCTCATTTTTATTTCTTTGCAATAAATAAAATGGAATGCATGAAGAAAGTGCATTTCATAAGTTTAAAACATTATTAGGTTGGTATTTTAGGGGGAAACACTGATAGTTACAACATATTTTGCTTTTCAAAATTAAGGGTTTTGAATAGAACCTGGAATTAAAACATTAAAAAGCAATCCTGCACAATCCCAGTCTCACTACAAATTATGCCATTAAAGGATTCTTGCAGATCAAACTAAAAGTTTCCAGAAAACTAATCGGTTATGGAAAAAAGACTTGTAGTACAATATTTTTAAAGACTTTCAAATATTTATTATGTGGATTAGCATTCAATTCATAAAAGTGGATTATAGAAGACTCCACCATGAGAAATATGTTAATCTTCTAAAGCAACAAGACCAAAACCATCTCCTTTGTTAAAGAGTTGCCTTTATTTTCATTCCTATGTCACAGGGAATTCAAAAAAAGAGCCATAAACATCCATCACACCTATGTTTCCACAGCTCAAAGTAGCATACATATTATTTTTTGACCCGATTCTTAGAATAATCCCATGAGATAAATTTGGTTGAGCTTTGGGACAAGCTAACAAACTCTTGGGCTGGATTTGACTCGAAGTCAAGGGTCTCCAACTTTGGCCACTTTAAGCCTGGAGGACTTCAACTCCCAGAATTCCCCAGCCAGC